TTTGTAAAGTTTCAAAACATAGTTTAGCCAAAATGTCAAAATTCATGTGTTCACATTTTTATGTTTTGGACTATTTTGCAAAATGATGAAATTTCTCATTTGGGAGGTCCTTTTTGAAAACTAGTTTTTGTAGCATGCTTATTATCATGTCTACAATCATTTCTCAAAGTTTTACATTTTTTTGAATTTATTTGATATTCTTAAACCCAGTTTAAAGTTGAGTTTTTCTGTGCACTTCAGGTTTGTGCATGTTTAGTCGACTCATTAGTCGACTCATAAGTCGACTCACGAAGTGCAGCGCAGTTATGATTTTTCTTCTGCTGAGTTGACTCATATAAGCCGACTCATTAGTCGACTCATAAGTCGACTCATGAGTCGACTCATAAGTCGACTTATCAGAGACCACAGTAACGGCTAGTTTTCTGTTTTGTTTGTTTATGGGTTTTTGGTCTTTTTCTTGGGGTTTTTGCTGATGTTTTGGGTTCCTATAAATACGCCCTTGCTCTCATCTTTCATAATAACTAAGAAAATGTTTAATCAAGTTAACAAGGGTTTGAGTTTTGTTTAAGTGTGTTTAAAATCTCTTAAGCATTTTCGAGTTTGAGTTTGTGATTTCAATTCCACAAGAGCTTGAGGAGATAATCTATTGGAGTTTGAGCAATTAACTATTCTCCCTCCATCTCTTGTCATCTATTGAGAAGTTTTCTAAACTCTTTTCTAGCTTTATATTTATTTGTTTGATTATCATCTTATTAAAGCTAGTTTTATATTGAGTTTAGATTTGATTAATCTCATTGTTACACACACCCACTTGAGCTTATTGTATTTGCATTCATAATATATTTAGGGTTGTGAGAGATAGTAACATTGAGTTGAGCCTAATTGAGTTCTCACCTTGTTTAGAGAACAATCATTTGTTGTGCTTAATTTGTGAAGTTCACTTTGTAATACACTTGTACACCGAGAGGAGTGTGTGGTGAGGACGGAGTCGATACCAAGAGGAGTGGCGTCGGTGGCCTAGTGAGAGGTGATAATTCCGAGCACTTGAGGGAGTCGATACGTGAGGACCAACATGTGAGGTTATAGCTTGTGTATGTACATTGTGAGGATTTGTGAGAGTTGTCGGTTGACTTGATAACCGAGTGTGTAGAGTTTTCGGTTAGCTAGAAAATCGAGTGTGTAGAGAAGTTCCGGCTTCCAAACCGGTTTGTGTAGTGAATTCTCCCCGGGAGTGGGGAGCGGAGACGTAGGAAGGAAGGTCCAAACTCTGTGATCATTTCCTTATGCTTGGGTTTAGCATTGGTGCATTTATTCTTGCATATTGTTATATCGCCATTATTGCATGATCATATTATTTACCCTTGTTTATATTGTATATCCTTGCACATATCTTGTAGCATATCCATGATCATATTATTTACCCTTGTTTATATTGTATATCCTTGCACATATCTTGTAGCATATCATACTTGCTAGGATATATTTGTTAATTAGTATTAATTAGCATAAAATCGGATTAGATTAGCATAAACCCTATTCACCCCCCCCCCCTCTAGGGTTCTTTCAGCGACCTTAGGGTCTAACAATTGGTATCAGAGCTTAGTGCTCTTTGCTTTAAGGTCTAATCACCTTGAGTTAAAGATCCAAGTTATCTTGTTGTGCTAATCTAATTTTAATTTTATTGTTATCTTGCTTGCTCATATATACATTATGGATATGCACGGTGCACCTTGTTTAGGTTATGCCATCAATATTTCTCCTAGATTAGATAATTTCCCCTATGCCCAATGGTATGTTAGATTTAAGTTTTTTGTTCGATTTAGATACTTCGATTTATGGAAAATTATAGATGATGCTTATATTGTTCCCACTTCGGAGAAATCCAAGTGGAATAAAAATGATCATCGTATGTTTACCATGAATAAGCTTTTGTTAGAATTTTTACATAATGCGTTCGATTCATCTATGTCTAACAAGCTTGATTCTTTTGATAGTGCTTACACATTATGGAAACTTATAGAAGCACATCAAGGGAATTTGGAGGCGATCCGACAAGCTTTGGAGGATTCCGCTTCTAGTTCATGTGGAGCTTCATTTTCATGCACACGGCCACTAGGCGATAGTCCTAGTGTGGTAAACAAGTCCGAATCCGAATGTGATTTATCTTTTGATGAACTCGCCCGTGCTAGTGAAAACTTATTGCATGCCTATAACAAATTGCATAAAAATTTTATTGATTTACAAAGCAAACATGAAGGTTTAAAATCCGATCATGAGAAGTTAGCTTCCAAATTTGATATCATTTCTCAAGAGAATGATGCTTTTAAAGAAAATAATGATATGCTAAATTTGGAAAATAATAATTTAAAATTGGATATTGCTAACTTGACTCATGACAAAAATAATGACATGTTAGAAGTAGAGAACATACAAAATGATACTGCTTCTTTTATAAATAACTATTTATGTTCTACTTCTAATAAAAATGCATATGTACCTAAAAATGAAGAATTGAATCTTATGAATAAACGCATTTCATCTTTAGATTCAACTTTAAAAACATGCATTAATAATCATAAGAGGCTTATGGATATGTGTGCCAAGTCTAAGTCATCATCCACTCATTATGCACACATATATAGCAAAGTTTACAAATGCTGTATTTGCGGCCGAAAAGGTCACTTATCTAAATTTTGCTATGATGCACACAAACATAAGAATGCTAATGCTCCTTGTGCATCTCATATAGCTTCTTCATCTTGTACACTTACACATTCACATGCTCATTCTCACAAAGTTCATAATAAGCATGCTAGTGTGTTCAAGTGTGATCTTTGTGGTCGTTTTGGTCATTTGGCCGAATATTGTTTTGATTTGAAAAGAAAATCACGTTTGCCAAATATTTCTAGTGGACCACATATTTTTAAATGTGATATTTGTGGTAGATTTGGCCATTTGATAAAGTTTTGTTATGATTTGAAAAAATATTCAAACTTGCCAAATTTCCCAAGTAAACCACATTTGTTTGATAATGTTTCTCATTTGCAAAATAATTTTAAAAGACAATCTTTGTTTGCAAATGGTTCCCGTGCACAAGCATATGGTCCACAAAAACAAATGAGTCTCTTTTATTGCACAAATTGCAATCGGAAGGGTCATTTGAGCAATTATTATTATGACCGGGTTAGTGCACCAAATGTGCCCAAAAGGGTTCATAATCCTAGGGCTTTGAGCTTTATTGATAGGGGTCATGTCCCTAACCAATCCGGCACCAAGAATGATTGGGTGCCAAAATCTTTTTAAAACCAAGAATTATGTTTTCTAACTTTTTATTTTTCTTTGTTTTGAAAATTATGTTTTAAAATTTTTTTTATATGAAAATAATTTTTCTTTGATCAATTCTTTTATTTTCATGATTATTAGTGTCGATTTTGTTGAGAGGTTCGTATTTATATAACCCCCCGGGTTTATTTGGTGTTTATTTCCCAAATCATGTTTACCGGGTGCTAAAATGATTATATGGGTTGAAACAAGCTCAAGAGCTTGATATTGTTGCCTCACTTAAAAAGTGTGTTTTGATTTATTGCTTTGAATTCATTATATTTCACTTATATGATGATATTTATGTGTTGTGCTTATGGATCATCTATTCGTGACTTATAATGTATTCTATGAGTGGTTTGATCAAGTTATACAAAGAAAATTTTCCTCTTTGATCAAACATTGTTTTTGAACTCAAATCTTAATTTATGACTTCATTTGAGTGATTTGTTTTCACTTGAAAACTTTTTTCATGGTTCTTATGTTTTCCTCATTCCTTTATTTTCATAAATCTATTTTTATACACTATGTTTTTATAATTGTGTAATGAGACACTTCTTTCATAAATGACATATTAATATGTGTTCTCATTGTCTTGTTTGTAGGTGAGTTATGTTTAGCATATCTTTTATTTATGCTTACTCACATGTCTTTACCTTAGCTTTTATTTCATATATTCTATATGGCATTTTGATAGAGGGAGCCTTTTCCCTATATTTGTTTTTATACTCACCGTGCTTGTAGGTAAGGGGAGCCTTCGCTCTCTTATAATTTTCCCCTTTTTGATGTTGTCAAAGGGGAGAAATATTGTGAGTATACATTTCCTTATTTATATACATGTGAATTATAATTTATATATTTATTTTCATTCATGCATATATCTTTTTTGTAAATTATTTGTCATCATCAAAAAGGGGGAGATTGCTGGCCTTCTTATTTTGATGATGATTTAACAAATAATTTACATCTAATATTGTTTGTCTAGTGTTTGTATTTTGTTATTTATTGTAGACAAACAATAAGTTGGAGGATGGATGGATTACGCCATAACGATCATATCAAATGGAGGTTGGCGGTATAGTGGGTGAAGCCTATGCAATTCAAGTTGAAGATCCAAGTTCTAGCTTTATCCGCAATGTGTACCAAGTAAAGCTTATTGAAGATCAAGATCAAGCTTGGGTAACATTAGTTTAGGTTTATATTATGTGTGTTGGTACTAACTACATGTGTAAGTATTTGTTCACCAAGTAATTTTTTAATCACCAAATTATGAACCCCACATAAATATTTAAAACCTACTTTGTTAAAATTTAAAATTAACAAACGCCTTAATAAAACAACAAATCCAAAGAAAAATGAAAGAAGAACATTAATTTTCTATTAAAAGTAAAAACTAAAAACATTAACAATACAAACTTAATGTTAAAGTTAAATGAGAATACCACTTGACAAAAGCATGCTAGTAATAGATGGCTGGAAAAATCAGTGAACTCACATAAAATCATTGGAAATAACACCGAATCAATTTAGCTGTATATTCTTTATTCTTTACTATAAAATTAGGAAATCCTTATTGGAAAAGTGATCAATAAAGCTAATGCCAACTTGCAGGTTGATAGCTTCAAAATTGAAGAAAAGAGCAAGTTAACAGTAAAACTTTCAATGTTACATAGGAAATGTTTGACTCATAATACTTTAAACAAACAAACACTATTAAAAATGTACTTATTAAAATCAACACATGTGCAAAATCCTCGACATAATATTTTTAATAAACATAATTAAGTGTATTCATCATAGCATCATAGCACTATAAATGATGTATCACTTCTCAGTTTCTATTTTAATATTTTCATTATTCATGAACTTTCTTTTGTTCATATCTTTTTTCAGGCTTGTCATACTCTTTCGCTTCAGTGAAATGTCCTTTGAATCTTCATCTTCATCACATTCTATTGGTTCGAAGTTGTTTGGGCTGCATATTTCTTGAGCGGTTATTCTTCCTTCAATTCTTTTCTCTTCATCTTTCCTGTTCATTTTTACCAAGAAAAGATATTCTTTGTCGCAACAGCTCATCATTTTCTGTTACATAGGCGATAAGTGCTCCTGCATTTTATTTATGGTCATTTTTTCTATTTTACTAATTTAATAATTTTATGGAAAAAAGATTTTATATATTTGAAATAAATAAAATGATATATTACCTTTCCTTCTTCAGTAAATGAATCTACATATTCTTCAGCTGAACAACCAGTTAGATACCGAGCTTCATCGAAAAGTGTAACATATGCCTTGTTGATATGATCTTTAACTTCCAATCGCATAAGGTACCTTGATGTGAAAATTTAATGTTGTTTTTTTTTAATTTAATGAATAAAATTTAGAACTTACTTTATTTCCCATTCTGCATCTTCAGTGTTGCAATTGTTGCAATTAGTTATGATGTCTTCAACAAAAACCTTTCTTTGACAACTCTTGCATGCGGTGTAACAAGGTGATTCTGGATTGATTATTGCTGATATCTCTGCTTTAAAGTAGGAATACATATTCTAAAAAATAGCAATCAAGTTATAAATTCAAAATTTATTATTATTTATATTGTTAATATCTTAACCAATATAATAAAATACCAGTTTCGTAGCTGTTGATGATGTGATGATATCACCAAGCATAACCTTTTTAGACCTCCTCATTAGCTTCGATGGTGTATGCTGCATCAGCTTCTCATAATTTTTCCCCTTCCCTGTCATCCTATATTTAAGACATGTATTATTTTTTTTAAAAAATTAATTTAGGAAGGATTTTATTTGGACAAGCATTACCATTCTTTAAGAGTATGTGCTTCAGAAATGTTTGGATCTATAAAAAATATTGTTGCAGGCTTTGTTGATATTTGCGGAACTCCTGTATTCATTATATGGTTACTTTTTAGTTATATGAAATTTTTAAAACAAATAATATTAAATTAAAAAGTCATACCCATATATCTATTTGCAGTAACATTAATTATTGCTATAATTGGTTGTTGTTTTTTCTTGTCTTCAAATACTTGACCTTCTTTCTCTGCATACTCTCCCCATAATGTTAATATCAATGGATCCAACCTGTGTTAATTACAAAAATTGTTAAATGGATATGTTAGTATTTTAATATTTGTTATTGGAAAACGGTTTCTTATTTAAAAACACTTACTCTTCATTCATTATTGTGATCTCCCTTCTAACAGATGTATTTGTTGTGTACAACGGTCTCACTGAAGTGATGAATCCTAACACATCTGTATAAAGATTAAAATTTTAGTTCTTAAAAATTTAATTTTGTATTAAAAAACTATGTTATTAAGAATGAAAATTTAGCATACCGAAAAATATATTTTCATTATTTGTCTTTGTCACCTCTTTGAATCGCTTGAATGAAAATGGTAGGGTACCCATATTGATTTCATTTTCGGATAATGTAATTTTTGTGTTGTGTCCAAAAGCAAGCTCAAAATTCGGATTTACCGATGCATATTTCCTATTTATAGGCCTGACTATACCATTCTTGATGATAATGGTATTGTTGAGATGGATGTATTCCTCAAATGTAGCTATTGTAGCATTGAAAAGTGTGGCTTGAATCTTTGTTCCCTGTAATTTTTTTTTAAACTTTAAAATAAATTACCATTTATGTAAAAATTTAATGAAAATCAAATATAATAATAAATATTTCATTTGAAGAGTTGTACTTACCTCTTCGTCAATCACAATAATCTTTTGAACCTGACCTGAACCTTTTGACGATGAGAATTGCTCCAAGGACACTTTTAGTATAAGCACTTTGATTGAGAAAGATTCTTGATATAACTTCAAATCCTTAATGAAGCTGTATTCACCTTTACGTTGTCTTTCAGCAGTCATCTTCCCTGAAACAATAGTAAATATTAGAAATATCAAATAAAGTAATTTTTACAAATTATAATAATGATATTTATTTTTTTCACTATCTTCTTATTGCAATATTTATTGCTATAAAATAATTAAATTTAATTTTGATATTTTTGTTATTTACATTTATTTAAAATAAATAAGTTAGTCAATTAAATGTTTTTTCTAACCTTTCCCTGTATAGAACTTCTTTGTAGACGATATTTTTGGTGTATGTATATCCCTTCTTTTGTTTTCTTTCGCCTTTAACCAGCACTCTTGTATTGTGTGTTGATACACCACGAGATAAAGCGACGTATAATTGTCCATGTGAAAAAACATGGTGTGGTAAATAAATACCCACTGTGCTAATTGTTTGTCCCTGTGCTTTGTTTATTGTCATTGCGAAGCATAACCTTATAGGAAATTGTTTTCGCTGAAATTTGAAAGGGTAATTTTCATTTTCCGCTGGTGATAATGGTATCCTTGGAATCATGACTTCTTGACCCGCATGATGACTTTTTGTTATTTCTGCTTTAATAACATTTTTGTCAAATTCTTTGCAAACCATTCTAGTTCCATTGCAAAGTCCATTTGATGGGTCTAGATTTCTAAGCAACATTATCGGGCAATTCTGCTTCAGCTTTAGTTTGTGCGGTGGAAGACCATTAGGCATCAACTTGTTTAAAAATTCTTCTTGGTAGTAGTTATGTGGATCATCAATAGCCTTGTCAAAACTATGGAAAATAATCTCATCACCAGGAAATTTTTCCAAAAGCTTGTCATTGAGCTCATCTACATATTCATTTTTGGTCGCAAGGATAGCTCGTTCTGTCATATATTCAGCTGAATATGCATTTTTCTCAATTTATGGAAATACTTGGTTTAACAATTCAACTTCCGATTTTCCATTTTTGCTATCTTCAATCACAATACTTTCAGGAAGTCTTATAAGTTCATCTTTAGTTGTTTTTTCTGTTCCATTTCCGACACGCAGCAAGAATTTACTGAATTCTTCATCATTTTTTGCTCGCATGTTTATTTTTAATGTTATCTTTTCCATCTTCTCCCACAAATAAGACTTTACTAAGCTGGCATTAACTGTTTGGCTCCTTGTTCCTCTTGGAATAACTGGCAACACTTGACGAAAATCTCCTCCAAAAACTACTACTTTACCACCAAACAATTCTTTTGTACTCAATAGGTCTTGCATTGTACGATCTACACTTTCAATTGTTACTCTTTTTGCCATAGGTGCTTCATCCCAAATAATTAGTGCTGCTTTTCTAATCAAATGTGCAGTACCTTCCTGTTTAGATATATTGCAAACTGTTGTCTCAGTGGCATTAATAGGTATCTTAAAACGTGAATGTGATGTGCGCCCACCAAGCAATAAAGATGCTGCTACTCCTGAAGTTGCAGTTGCTATTGCAATCATTCCTTTTGATCTGACATTGGCAAGAATAGTTTTGTACAAGAATGTTTTTCCCGTCCCTCCAGGACCATCTATGAAAAAAACTCCTCCCTTATTCATATTAACTCTGTTCATTATTATTTCAAAAGCTTTTCTTTGATCTTCGTTTAATTTGTACTTACCATCTATATCTTCCTGACAAACTTCAACATCTATCTCATCCTGTATGATTCGTAGATTGCATGATGGATTATCTATTTCATTCTCTTTAAATTTAGGTAAATCAAAATCTTGTATTGTCTTCCCCATGCTCTCTAGAAAATAATTAACTCCCTCTAATGCCCATGCGGTTTGTTCTGCATCTGTCGCTATAGATCTTTGAACGAAATCTTCAGACATTGCTGGTCTATATCTCTCCCATAATAATCTGACATTTGTTGGTTGACAATAAACCAGAATAGTTGCAAATAATCTTCTTAATGCGTATGGCATCTTGAAATTGACCGCTTCGTCCAAGCATTCGACTATACTATCGTCGGATTCTAAGAGTCCTCTTTTCTGTGCAGACTCTTTAAAAGTCTTCACAAGTAATCCACCAACAGTAAGTAGGTCATCCCAAGAAGTAGGACCTTTAACATGATTCAATAAAAGCCTTAAATAATATCTCTCCCCCTCTATAGGATTTGCTGAATTTATTCGTCCAATCACGGCCTTTTTTCCTCTCATTCCAACATTTCTTTCCTACTACCCACACATAATGTTCAGGAAATTCTTTGTACAGCAACATCCTTGCTTTTTGATCTGAAGCACATTTTCTAAAGAATCTTGTAAGCATTGTCTTAGCTGTGTGCTCCCACGTCATAATATTTCGAAGATCTTCATTATTCCAATAATAAACATTTTGCTTATTTGGAAGATGTAATTGGTGGTTAATAACAGGGGGTTGTATATCATTCAGCTTAAATTCAAAAATCCGCCAAATTGCTTCTTGTGCTGATACCCATCTCGCATCTTGGTATTGTTTGATCTCATCTACTGGATGTGTTGCCTCATTTGACGTTATGCACACAGCTGCTTTGTCATGCCCTTTGTATATATATTTATAAAGATATTTTACAGCCTTAAGTCCAGAGCATACTTCAACATTGACATGACAATTATACCTACTTAATAGGTAAGGATTGTATGGAACAATCCATTGATTGTCTAAAATTGTGTTACGTACAAAAATTTTCTTTCCATCATTCCTTCGCATATATATTGGATAACCATCACCCCCTAAACTTGTCTTTGAACAAAAAGAACGTGGGTAGTGATATTTACATTTTCCGTCAACCATGCATGGACTTGTTTTCCTCAACGATCCACAAGGGCCATGAACCATATGTTTTACCACCTTCGCATGCAACATTGGAAATAGTGATTGATCTGGTAATTCTGCTGATATAAATTTATCAAAATGATCTGGGCTCATTAGCTTATATTCATGTTTCAAAATTAATAATATATGAGCATGTGGAAGTCCCCTTTTCTGAAATTCAATGACATAGACACGTGCAGCTACTTTACCAAATACTTCTTCCTTAAATAGCTGGTCTTTAAGATCTTCTATTTTCCCTCTAAAAACTCTAGCAGAAAGATCTGGTCTATCCTGTGCTGTTTGTCCATTTAGAAGCTCATTCCTTATTTCATCCCAATCTGGATTACATGTTATTGTAATGAAGAGATCCGGTTTACCGTATCTTTGAACAAGAGCCATAGCATCCATATAACGACGTCTCATATCTCTTGGTCCTCCAATGAAAGATGGTGGTAAAACAACTCTATGTCCAACTTGATCTCCACGTGTTTCCCCAGCCGTAACACTATCAACAATTCCTTGATACAATTCTGCTCTTATATTCGACTGTTGTTTTCTAAAAAAATCAAGACGCGTTGTCTCTAACTTCACATACATGTCCACAGCAAACTGCTGAAATAGTCGCCCAGCAAGTAGCAGAATTGATTTTATTGGATTCCGAATTTGAAGCTTGTAGCAATAATACTCTCTACAAGAAACATATTGCCCTCCTTGTCTTTCGATATCTGTTATAAGCTTAAAATTTTTTAGAAATTGATAAGATATGATATATTTTACGTATGAGATTAAAATTTGGCATTTGTTTTACCTTGTGATTCCTCATCATTAAGCTGTCCAGCTAAATCCAATGTCTGACTTTCTTCGGTCATATTTAATTGTATTCTTTCGTTCCGCCCTCTGTAGATAAACTGTTGCCACCCACTCTCACCATTTGGAAATAAAATCGGATATTGTAGAGGATCATAACAACTATAATAATGTTTGACTTGATGCCTTTGTCCAGAGTGCTCTTGTATTATAATCTCTCTATTTAACGGTTCATTTGGATTGTATCCTTCTATCCAAATTGCTGCCACTTGCTCTGCTGTTGGAGAGTTATAAATCCTTTGATCAAGATTGGTGTTCTTAGATATACAGATTTGTAATTCTCTCAACGTTGGTACATCTTTAAGCCTCCGTAGAATTTTTGCATAAGGATTGTCTTCTAGGATTTTCATTATAGTCTTCATTGTATTTTCTGATAATTTCCCTTCTTGTAAAACATTCATCCTATTTTGCAATTCATTATCTGTGTCATAAAAATATAACTGGAAGAAGCGAGGTCTATCATTTTGTGGTATCAATCCAGGCAAACTATGGTAAATCTGACCTTGCGCTCTAAAAGTGTATATTCCATCCCTTGACGATGCCAAGTTTTTATCAAGTGCTACCCCAAATGAGGTGAATGAGAAAACACTGTTGTATGCTCTAATGTTTCTCCTAAACTCAACACCCTCATTACAATCAGATGTTAGCAAGTTATATAATTCATCTGGGATACAAGGTTCCACAAGTACTGTTTCTCCATTATTACAGTAAAAAGTTGGACTCTCATATTGAAATTTCATTGCTCCACAATGGATGCAACTTGCTATTTTTCCAAGCCTGTGTAGTTCTGAACAAGACGGCCTTGATATATTTGTTCCTATACGATTGTAATATGTTATTAGTTAATTTTGTTTATTGTAGAAACTTAAATTATTATATATTTGTTCCTATACGATTGTAATATGTTATTAGTTAATTTTGTTTATTGTAGAAACTTAAATTATTATTTTTATAAACTTATTAAAACTCACTGTTGCATTCAACTTGGTAATTGGATGCTCGTTCTAGCCAACGTGCACTTCTTTTCATTGATTGATCTTCTGCATTTGGACTACTATCCATAGTCCTCTTTATTCTCTTATTTCGACACATCCTTCTAATATAAGCTTCTCTTTCCTTAGTAGTTAACGCATTGTAGTAATTTTTCCTCTTCATTTTCTTTGATGCTGTTGATAAATTTATATGAATATATTAGAATTATTTGTTATTGATTATCTGGAGGATGAATTAGAAAAATTAAATTTGTTTGACAAACCTTCATTTGGTTCCATTTGTTTTTTTAATTGTTTTCCACGCAAACTTGTGAGAATATTATCTGAACTGCAAAAGAATTGAACATTAATTTATTTTTCATATTAATCTAGTATATACATATAATAAACTTAAATCTTAAATTTTAAATGTTTTGAATTCATTTATTATGTGTGAAAATTCATAATGTAGTTAAATTCAATTAGTTAACATAATAATTGCACACTAATAAAACTAATGCTATAATTAATATTCGAATTACATAAAGCATTACTTTTGAAAAGGAAATGTACCTTGTTTTCCTTGTTGTAATTGTTGTTTGATCTTAATCTTGCATTCTGACAAAAATATCGAAAATAAAAAGTTAGTACAACCATATATGAAAATAAATTTCTTTGGTTTAATAATTATTACTAGGCATATTATTGTTCGGCGTCAAATATCTTATGCATCTAAACCAGGTTGTACAACCAAATGTACAATTTAAACATTTCAGAAACTAAATCCTTCCCTCGGTTGTGGAAACCCGTAGGAAATGGTAGTTCGTATGGCGAAGGATGTCAACAATGACTGATAAACAGCCATTTATTTAACATGATACTCAATGTTGGTTTTAATAATCAAACATAAGGGATGGATAATATCATACAATAAGATGTTTCACTTGAATAAAATAAGCAAGTAAGATGAATTGATAAGCTGCTTTATTGTCATATGATCTTGGGCTAGGAATAAAATAGGCAACTTGAATAAAATTCTTAAGCAAAGTGAAAAGAATTAGCTGCGCCTTAAGTAAGTAACATCAACATAAATATGAGTATGAACATATTCTAAATGTAAATGATCCACTGCGCCTTAAGTAAGTAACATCAACATAAATATGAGTATGAACATATTCTAAATGTAAATGATCCACATTCCTCCTATAATAGTACATAATAGTAATAAATATGAGTATGAACATATTCTAAATGTAAATGATCCACATTCCTCCTATAATAGTACATAATAGTACAGACTCTCATAGCAATGACATATTTTAGTTCATACATTTACTCATATAATTTCACTAAATGAGTTATTTTCATTGTTACAATTCCCGTTTTAAAATGCTTTTACTCTTAAGAAAAAAACTCTCTTTTGAATATCATATGTTCTTAAGAGATTTGAGAACAGATAGAAAGTATGAACTAATGAAGAAATGGATATATATAATTCAAAGAAGGCATAATTAGATTATGAATGGATGGGATCGATTCAAGTAATTAATATTAGTAAATAAATATTTATTTTACATTAATTTACAGAAGGTTTTCTGCTTTGATGATATCTGGTGAAGCTGTTGCAAGTACAACATATATAAAGTATTATTTTTGTAAAGGAAATGTACCTTATTTTCCTTGTAGTTGTTGGTTGTTTTTAATCTTTAGACATAGCTTTATATACCTAGATATAAAAAGAAAATTAAAAGTTAGTAGTATATTTTATTCATTTGTTCAAGGAATCAATTGTTCAATTTTTTATTGAAGACCTACAAAAGGTCATAATAAATGGTTAAATTTGAAAACCATATCTTATCATAATCGTAATCATAAATCATAAATGATTAAAATTGAAGTATCATTAATACTTCACACAAATCCATATCATTCATAAACCTGTTGGTAAAGAAATATAAAGAGGTAAACATAAGTTTTTTCCATATAGCTCAAGCTAATTAAAACAACTGAAATTTATAAAATTTTCCAACAACATGATTCGCAAACTCATAGTCCTTGATTTATTTTATTGACTTGACATTTATTTTTCAATACTTGTCTCTACTCATTTTTCCTTCTCCTGACGAAATTTCCATATAGCTGCTAGAATTTCCATAGCTTTAGCAAACAATTTATCTGCTTCATCTTTGATTTTAACAGCAAAAGGGACATTAACTTCAGGAGTAGCAGGAGCATCTTCGCTAGGTACATAATCAGTATCTGAATTTTCAACCTTCACTCTTTTGTTAACTTCAAATGAGCTCTCCTCATCATCATCATCATAATACTTCTCAATGGAAGGTTCTTCATCATCATTTGATGAAATTTCTATAATTTCCTTGTCATTAACATACTTTTTTAATTCATAATGTTTAGGAACTGATTTCCGGGCAGTGCGTTTCAACAACATCTGTTATGAAACCATGAAATGAATTATTAATATAACTATAATATAAGTCTTGACATTATAGGGAGCATATTGGCTGCCACAAACACTATAATAACATGATAAAGCAATGAAGTATTGAAATAAAACAAATATTAATTATAAATGTTCAAGCTTGAACTTTTGAAGTTTAAAGCAATGAAACACAATACATATATTGTATCGTAAAGACTGTATAGTAAAGACTGCCTACGTATCCTTGTGTGTCTTATATAGTTTTGATATATACTACCTGTTATTTGTATTTAATAGTTCTCTAGTTGTAGTCATGGGGTGCCTAAGGTACACCATAAAGGGAGGAAAGGTGATTACTATATAATGTTATGGTTTTCCTATGTCACATTGAATTAATTCATTTACTGTCTTTACCCATGCATTATTATTGGTTCATAGTCTGGTTTAACATTTGTGCTTTTGCAACAAGATCCTAGCAATCTATTTTTCTTATTTTTTGAACATTATTATTGAGCCTTTTGAGATGCTAATATTGAGGTCGGTTTTGATAATTGTCCTGTAATTTTATTATCTACAGGTTATGGATATGCTTGGTCCTAGTTTATGGGATGCATGGAACTAATAACCATTGGGAAGATATCATATTCATGAATTTAGCAAAATTTGGTTTATGAGCATAAATATTCCTACAAAAATCCTATAGTTTATGAGCATAAATTTCAAGCTCCTCATAATGGTGTCTGAGAGACATACTATATAGATCATGTGTAAACAGTTACTGTTCATAAGTACTACAAACTGGACATATGTCTGATAGTATTACAGTTACTGTTCATAAGTACTCTCGCCTGATTGTTGCCAGACTCATTCCAATCAAAGTTATAACATGATATACTATTATATATAGACCTTCCAGCTTAAGTGTAGAAAAACAGACAGTAGGAAAAATCCATAGCCATATACAATACATTATAGATAAATTACTCATGCTGCTAAGTAAAACAGTATTATTATTTAAACAGATCAGTATAGATTTTTTTCATTTTTAAGATAAATTACTCAATATATTTGCAATTGCTATATTATCAATCCCAGTTTTTACACCATATGAGAAAGATGATCAATATATTTGCAATTGCTAGTCCAATAGCGCTTACAACTACATAAGGTCTAAAATAAGAGCAATGACAGTTTCTTCATATTGTTATATCATGTTGCAGGACATTGTTAAATTTGATTGTAACAAATAAAAAAATTGTTCCCTACAACAAATAAAAAAATTGAAGACAAAAAATAGTATGTCCATGTGCAAAGCACGTATATATTTACAAAAGTTGCAGCAGATACACACAATACACACAACAGGTTTTGTTTTGTATCTGCAGACTCAATACACACAATACACATCTTAAAACACACAATACACACATTACGTATGTGTATCTGCAGACACACACACAATACGTATGTGTATCTGCAGACATAATACACACAATACGTATGTGTATCTGCAGACACATAGACACAATACACACAATATATTGTGTGTATCTGCAGACACAATACACACAATACGTATGTGTATTTGCAGACACAATACACACAATACACAGAATACACAATACGTATGTGTATCTGCTGTGTATCTGCAGCAGATACACACAATACACATCTTAAAACATAGAGAATTGCAAGCAAAGCATGCAATACAACAGGTTTTGTTTTGTATAAACATCAGTTATGACATGAGACAAAAATTATTTCAGTTAGAAAATCTCCTCTGCCAAAGGAAGATACAAAATTGTATAAACAATGTATATAATAAGGTTGGAAATGCAAGTTTAAGATGCATCTGGTTATCACTTTCAAACATACTCATATTCAACTATGTATATAAGGTTTGGACTTGTCTATGCTTTCAATTTAAACTCGTATGAACCTCTATGATTTTGTTCCTCCTACTTAATTTTTACATGGTTGAATATTTTTTTGTTCATTATGCTCAGTTAAAACTCTTGCAGACATACAACTCCAATTGTTCCATTTTGGATGGAATCTCTTAAACTCCTATATCTGATCTATGCCTCCCCAGTTAAATATGATTATTGTTCATATAATATGAACAATGCATTCATGATTAAGGAAGAAAAATGCCTTGCGTATTTTTAACATAGCACATAGCCTTTATCAAGTACTTCCTCTGAAACTTTCATATGTTCCTTCAGGAAGATTTCAGCAAGTACTATTAATTTTAAAAAAGTTTCAAAAGGCTGCATCAAGAGAGGATGGACATGGATATGATACAGCATAGTGATACAATAGACATTATATTAAACCTTTAAAAAATAGAATCTCAATGCTCTAAAGCTGCAAAGTGTAGAAAAACAGACTCATTCCAATCAAAATTGGAGATGATGCTATAAAAGTCATACTACAAGCAACATATTATAAGAAATATAGTTCCAATATGATATAGAACTACATGAACAAATTAAAAATTAAATATCAACAAATAACAACACCATATTACGTTAAAACAACAAAATGTGAAAATATTCCTAAACTAAATTTTTTTGCATTCATCCCAGTTGTGATCTAAATAAAAAAAATCAAAGTAATAATTAGACTTTTATGCAGGCTGAGAAAATTTCTCCTTACACGCTAATTGCAGGAAACACTTAACAGAAAATAGGAGGGGGTTAAGCGCAGTGCTATCAAATTATCCAACACAAAAAAATAAAGTTAACCCATAAACAATAGCAGTTTAATATTATTCAAGAGATATCCCAAATAATACGTTAAAAATGCTAGAATTGCAATCGAAAAATCATAGAGATAGAGATAAAATAAAAAAACATTTACCTTGAGAATTTTCTACTCCGCAAATAAAAATCTGACACCTAACATCAATAATCAACAATCAATCAATATCAAAAATAAAGCAAATCCATCAAACAATCATACAGAGATTATTATGAATAAGAAATTACAAGAAGGTAATAAGAGTAATTCATACTTACAATTGGAAAAAAAAACTTTCGTTGTTCCATCAAAATTGAGACAGAAGGTATTTATAGAAGCATAAAACGGAAGGGAAGAGCAGGTGTGCGGTAGAGGGAAACAGACGAGGAGTCGGAACGTCGACGGGCGGGGGAAAGCACAGATAAAGAAGGTAATAAATAGTTTTGGGCGTTAATCAAAGATAGAGGGTGAGGGGAAGGGGAGAGATCGGGGTTTTGGCAGTTAATCAAAGATAGAGGGAGAGGGGAAGGCGAGAGTTCGGCGTGATTTGGGCGTTATCAAAGAGAGAGGGAGAGGGGAAGGGGAGAGGACGGAGTGATTTGGGCGTTATCAAAGAGAGAGGGAGAGGGGCAGGGGAGGGGTCCGATAAGGAAGGGGATGAGTAAAGAGGACGGGGAAAATAAAGGGGTAATGTATATTCATATAGGATAAAATTAGAAATATAAAATTTGATGAGGGTAAAGTTGGTATGGAAAAGTTTTGACAAAGGTTTTCTCTTTTATAAGTAGTATAGATTTCAACTTAGATTTATTAAGCATAGACTATCAAACCATTTAAGGAAAGTATAACCTATCAAATTATCATCTAAGTCAAAATTACTATTCATGATAAGAACAACAACAAGATAGTAATCCTAGAATTCATAAGCATAACCTATCAAACCATTTAAGATAAGCATAGATTACCAAATTCTTCTTCTCTTAATTAGTTCTCAAATTGATTATCCTAAACATGATCATTTTAAGTGATATATATATATAAATATATATATATATATATATATATATATTTTAGTTTTGGTCTCCATGTATATATAGTTTCATATATACATAATACATATATGTTTGGTTTCTATGTATATATATAGTTATATATATACATACATAGTTTGAGTTTTCATGTTTATAAATATGAGATTACATATTTCATATTTATTATTCTGTTTTGGATTAGCTATATAGATATGAAACAAATTTACATTCATATATATAATCATATGTTTCATACTCCATTTTGTTTGAGAATATATTGCATAGAATATGCAATTTTGAGAAAATATTATTTTCATGGTTTATGGACTTAACAATCATTCATTAAGTCCACAAAATCATTTTGTAAAGTTTTAAAACATGGTTTAGTAAAAATGTAAAAATTCATGTGTTCACATTTTTATGTTTTGGACTATTTTGCAAAATGATAAAATTTCTCATTTGGGAGGTCATTTTTAAAAACTAGTTTTTGTAGCATGCTTATTATCATGTCTACAATCATTTTCTAAAGTTTTATATTTTTCTGAGTTTATTTGATATTTTTAAACCCAGTTTAAAGTTAAGTTTTTCTGTGCACTTCAGGTCTGTGCATGTTTAGTCGACTCATAAGTGATTTGCAGTTATGATTTTTCTTCTGCTGAGTCGACTCATATAAGCCGACTCATTAGTCGACTCATAAGTCGACTGAATGAGTCGACTCATAAGTCGACTTATCAGAGAGTCGTTACACAGTAACGGCTAGTTTTCTGTTTTGTTTGTTTATGGGTTTTTGGTCTTTTCCTTGGGGTTTTTGCTGATGTTTTGGGTTCCTATAAATACCCCCTTGCTCTCATCTTTCATAATAACTAAGAAAATGTTTAATCAAGTTAACAAGGGTTTGAGTTTTGTTTAAGTGTGTTTAAAATCTCTTAAGCATTTTCGAGTTTGAGTTTGTGATTTCAATTCCACAAGAGCTTGAGGAGATAATCTATTGGAGTTTGAGCAATTAACTATTCTCCCTCCATCTCTTGTCATCTATTAAGAAGTTTTCTAAACTCTTTTCTAGCTTTATATTTATTTGTTTGATTATCATCTTATTAAAGCTAGTTTTATATTGAGTTTAGATTTGATTAATCTCATTGTTACACACACCCACTTGAGCTTCATTCATAATATATTTGGGGTTGTGAGAGATAGTAACATTGAGTTGAGCCTAATTGAGTTCTCCTCTTATTTAGAGAACAATCATTTTTTGTGCTTTATTTGTGAAGTTCACTTTGTAATACACTTGTACACCGAGAGGAGTGTGTGGTGAGGACATAGTCGATACCGAGAGGAGTGGCGTCGGTGGCCTAGTGAGAGGTGATAATTCCGAGCACTTGAGGGAGTCGATACGTGAGGACCAACACTTGAGGTTGTAGCTTGTGTATGTACTTTGTGAGGATTTGTGAGAGTTGTCGGTTGGCTTGATAACCGAGTGTGTAGAGTTTTCGGTTAGCTAGAAAACCGAGTGTGTAGAGAAGTTCCGGCTTCCAAACCAGGTTGTGTAGTGGATTCTCCCCGGGAGTGGGGAGCGGAGACGTAGGATGAAGGTCCGTACTCCGTGATCATTTCCTTGTGTTTGGGTTTGGCATTGGCGCATTTATTATTGCATATTGTTATATCGCCATTGTTGCATGATCATATTGTTTACCCTTGTTTATATTGTATATCCTTACACATATCTTGTAGCATATCATACTTGCTAGGATATATTTGTTAATTAGTTTTAATTAGCATAAAATCGGATTAGATTAGCTTAAGACCCTAATCACTCCCCTAGTCTAGGGTTCTTTCATAGCATCCTTAGGGTCTAAACATATGTTAATTATATATATAATATATATATATATATATATATATATATACTATATTATATATATATATATTATAATATATATTATATATATATATAGTATATATATATATATATCATGAGGATAAATGGGATCCTCTATCATTAGGGGGATTTCCTCTTGTCGCCTATTGTGGTACCAATTCCCCAACCATCCTCATAAGTAGCGCAAAATCCCCACCAATTCACACTCTCTTCTTCTCTTTATGAGGCATGGTGGGGACTTGTTCACATTAGGCATCAAGCGAGAAATCTCCTCCATATGACAAGATACCATTAATCTCTCCTCTCTCTCTCTCTCCTCTCTCTCTCTCTCTCTCTCTATATATATATATATTATTATATAATATAGTATATAATATATATACATTTCACACACACACACACCACACATATATATGTGTGTGTGTGTGTGTGTTGCTGTATGATGTATGGTGTTGTGTGCTTGTATGTATTGTATGCATGTATGTATGTATATATATATATATACTATATATATATATATATACATTTATATATTTATTTATTTATTAAAACCTGAAATTTTCTCTTTCTTCTTCTTCATCTCTCACGTTCTGATCAGTACCCACCTCCTCTCAAACCCTAATTTTCAAATCTCATTCCTTTGGAGAATTTTTGTGAAGCAAACCCATAGAGGAGGGCCAGATCTACAACTTTCGTGAAGGAGGATTGAGCTTCTTCCACGTTTTGAGATCCAAACGAAAATCTAAGGCAAGTTTATCTTTTGCAAACACATCCCCTTAGTTTTTCCTTTTTGTTTGTTTAAACCCTAAATTTGATGAATAGATCTGTAGATCCAAACACTAAAGGAAGAAAAGACAAAATCTTGATGATTAGAACCATAATTAATTGATAATCGATGAACTGGTTAGGATTAGAACCTTAATTAATCAACCAAAAACCTGTTTAGTGATGTTCAAGGAGTTTAAATCCCAAAAATCCATGTTTTGTTGATGCATACTTGTTTGGCCAAACCCCCACTTCGTTTAATATACAAGATTAAACATGTTTTTATATCCCATGATGATGTTTCACGAATCCTTTTTGAGAAAGTCGATTAACTTCATGAAAACTGATGATCATGTTTCTATACTCTGATTGGTCGACTGACCACGTGAATCAGTCGGCTGATTTAACCCTAAGGATTGTATAATTTTCCTCGGGACAGACGACTAATAAATTATCGATCCACTGATCGAAGCTTGATCTTGTGCATGTTTGTGCATGTTCGCATCCGGTCGACTGATGGGATATTAGTCAACTGATCTGGAGTTGTTTGCAAGTAATGATCTTCCGTGCACATTTGGTTATGAACACAAAGGATGGGACCGTACGTAGATACGTACGTGGTCATGGTAGTGTACGTGTTAGGTTTAGGCACGCACGGATCCTCGAGAGTGCATGGCCATGTGTCAAACTGTCGTGACGTAGGGGTGACAACTATCGGGTTGCATAAGTCAACATCAAATGTCTGCATAGATGGCCTAGATAGGTTGTGAGTCGCATGAGATTACGATGCACCATGGAATACTGCGAGTACCTATGCTCCGCATCATACTTCTGCATAGATGTCCGAGTTAGGTTGTGAGGCTCTTGGTATTGTGATGAGCCACAGGATACTGTGAGCACCGAGACACCACATCTCTTTTATTTGCATTATGTTTTAGATTAGGCTGATATATCTATACTCCGCTTGGTGTCCGAGTTAGGTAGTGAGCCGCATGATATTACGATGAGCCACAGGATATTGTGAGCACCTATACTCCACACCATTATTGTTGAAGAGAATTACACAAGATTGTGTATTTGCTCCCTTGTCACCTACCCCGAGGGTAGTGTGTAATACTATGTTTTGACATGCACGACGTTTTTAGACTAGGTATTGATGATGTATTTCTTTTCCTACTTGTTTTCCCAAATTTTGGGAGTTGATATTTAGTGATTCACAATTTGAGATATATGGTATATATGAGAGTTTCTTTGATTGGATTACTCCCTCGACGTACTCATCTCATGTTATGGGTTTCTAAGTCTTAACTCCTCTTAGCACAGAGTTTTTGATAAGTATACATATATACTATGTGTAGTAATTTTCTAGTGTTGGCATTACCCCTTCCCTCTAGGGACGATGGACATGTTCTTGCTACCGCTCTGACGCTCGTTGATTCCATCTTTTTTAGGTAGCGGGTCAGGGATTCGAAGAGTCGCAGATTGACGGAGATTCATTATAGTTACCGTCATTCATAGGTAGTTAGTCGATGCTCCACGGTGGATCATTTATTGTTTTAAGATTTTTAGAGATGTATTTCGTTTTGGAGGCTGAGTGCCTATGTACCTTTCAGTTGACTCTTATGTGTTAGAGATTCATTTTTCTTTTCCAATTTATCAGATGTATTTTCTTTTCTTCTGTTGGGACATAATTATAATTATTATTAGATATATCTTCTTTTATTGTGTTCCTTGTACTTTCATCTTTATTATATTTGCTTGTACCCTCACTTGTTTTCATTTAACATTTGCTAGAGTGATATTAATGTGATGGTGAAACATGTTTATGCACAGTATTGGGTGTGTGACAGGTTTGACATCTTTGGGTTCACCTTGTCCTGCAACCATGTGTGAACCAGGGGCGTCACAATAATCCTTGTAAGAGCCACTTCCAGTTATCTTTATTCTCTTGATCGCATATGCAATAACCAAGAGAAAATATCCC